TTACACAAACAGAGTTGCTGCTCGGCATAATAGCAGCCCCACTCGTAAGTCGTTATTGCTACCTTTCAACGAAAGTCAAGCGGTCTGATGCGAAGTTCAGAAACAATTCCAACGACGAGAAAATTAATACTGTTTGTTAGAAGTTGAGGTGGCACATTACATAACGATGAAATAAGGAAAATATGTAAATAAAGCGACAACGGAAGCAAACGACCTGGAATCGTGAGGAGGGGTGGGCTCGTGATGCCATTTGACCGCAAAACTCGTAGGTAACGGAAGAGAAACTTCGAGGTTAAACCCAACAGAAAGGAGATACATGACCGACGGTGAGGCTCGTTTACACGGAGTCCAAAAAAAATTGACTTCGTTTCGAAATTCGAAAGACTCATCCATGAAAGCACTTTGTCACCTTCCGGCCAAAGTATCACAGGCGCCATGCGACGTTTTAAAAAATTCCGCCGCTTTTTTATTTTTTACAGAAAAATTGTTCAACGAAGCCGTCCGAAAATTTCACTGAATTTTCTTCGTGCTGCCGATAAAATTCAGTGAAGTTTTCGAACAGATTCAACCAACAATTTCTGTGAATAAAAATGAAATGGCGGCGGATTTTTTGAAACGCCTGGTACTTGTGATACTTCCCAGAAGGTACTTGCCTACATACGGTAACTAACGACAGAAACGTTGTAGTTCCGAAATTTTAGTTCCTGCTCCTTGATTGTTGAATCGTTATCGAATGACCTTGATCGATATATAGCATTGTTAAGATAGGGATTTATCGATCAGAAGCATTCGATAACGATTCAACAATCGACCCGCTGGTAGCAAAGTGTAGTCGAATTGCAATTCGACTGTTGGCGCTCACCTACTTGAGACTACTAAACTTCCATCGACGAAGTGAAAAGTCGGCGGACTCCATCGGCGAAGAAAGATTCATGATTTTTAGGATTTCCAAAGTTTGGAAAAGTTTTCATTAATTTTTTCTTCGTTTTCTACACCATGACCGAGATGAATGTTATTCTGCCAAAACTCACCTGTCAGAGGACAAAATCGGGATAAAAAAGAAATATTCGACTTTGATTCTACTACTTCATACTAAGTGGGTGCAAACATTAACATTTGCACGACAACGATAGTCTATGATAGTATTATGCAGACAGTGCCATAAGTTCTCTTATCTCTAGGCTTTAGCATACGGAAGCAAGCTCTTCTGATCAAACGATTGATTAGTTACTCTGTTCTAGTGTGGCAAAAACAAAAATAAAATCCGTCTCTAGCATACTAAGAAAAACTAACTGGTTTTCAACGGGAAAATGCCAGAGCAACAATTAAAATCATTCAACTTCAACGTCCTTTTTCATTTCAAAATATGTCAAAACATGCGGCAGGATGTTGTTACCGATAGATAAATGGAACTAAAGTAAAAAATGATTGATGATTTTTTTTTAAACGTTTTGGTAAGATGATTTCTAGCAAGTACAAATACAAAACGTACGTCTACGAATGCTTAGTAAAATCTCACGGGCTGTGTGATTTCACTCCTAGGTTTTGCATGTTTCCTAGCTCCTTAGTAACACCTTGAGTTATGTCTCTTCTCATAAAGTGAGATGCACACGCTTGTATGTTCGTCCATTCATTTGTCTTAATTTCCAATTCTTTTTAAATTTTTGCACATTCCTATACCACTCTATTTTCTGAGGTGTTAATGATCTATGCATTGGTAAATCACCTGGTAATCGCCAGGTTTTCACCAACTAACCAACCATCCCTTTTCCCTCCTTGGGTGACCCCAACGTGATCAGTGACGCAAAAAGACTCGGTCTCATCGTATAAGTGAAATGTGGTTTTAATGAAAATCAAGGTTGCCACAGAATTTAGAAAATGAAATTCCTCCACATTTCCCTGATTTACTTGACAAATTTTGCTTGGATTTCCTGACAATTCAAGATATGCTAGGATGGTGAAAAGACACAATCAGAAATAGTATTCAGGCGAAATTTATCGTTCGAAACGTCCAACCAGTTATAAAAGGCAAATGCAGGTGACTTGAACATTTTTCCCTGACGTCCTCGTCATTTTCTGTGCCATTTTCCGGTTTTCCTTGACTTTCTAAAAGTCCCTGACACTTCCCAGTATTTCCTGACTGTGGCAACTCTGTAACACTCACCGTAAAAATTTCAATTCGTTACATTCAAGCCCGTAAATTGCAGATCTTCAGGTGATCAGATGGCGTCCGTCCACAGCCCTCACTGGAAAAAAAGTCGCTTAGATCTAGAGTCCAGACTCTTAGAAACATTGACAAGAAAAAATAATCATGATCCAATCGGATTTTCCCTTGAATGGAGATGTTGCATGGGTGAGGAATTTGCGATTTGACTGCTGATTCTTACGTAAAAGATTGCGAGAAACACGATGAAGCCACTGGTTTTCTCTGAAATCAACTCCCAAGCTCAAAAAAAGCGTTAAGTTGAAGCCAAAATGGAGGGGATAAGTACTCCACGCTATCCTGAGAGTCCACCTCTACATCAAGACGAACCTTCCATGCAAAGATAGGGAGCAAATACATTGACAGGGCTGCCACTTTATTCGGAGACTCTAAAACTGAAAACACGGCGTCACTGCTAATGTACTTGCTCCCAATCTCTGCATGGAGAGTTTGTCTTGATGTAGACGTGGACTCTCAGGATAGCGTGGAATACCCCCTCCATTTTGGGCTCAACTTGAGAGCTTTTTTTGAGCTTGAGAGTTGATTTCAGAGAAAACCAGTGGCACCATCGTGTTTCTCACGAACTTTTACATAAGAATCAAAAGTCAAAACGCAAATTCCTAACACATACAACATCTCCATAGAAGAGCCGAGCCTCTTGATTTAGGTGGATTTCCTTTTGATTCAAGCAAAAAGCAGTCAAGAGTATTTTTTCTTGCAAATTTTTCTACGAGTCTGGACTCTAGATCCAAGCTTTTTTCCAGTGCTCGTGACCGCTCCTGACAACGAGGGTGTCGTCTTGCGGAGCGGCGGGCGACTTTGGGGTCGCCCTGTGGCGGGAGGTTCCGGTGTGCCGGATTGTATTTACATGCTAATGAGAAAACAAAGAGTCGGGAATAAGTGGGAATTTCGATTCAATTAGCCGCCCGCTTTGAAAACTCCCGTGCGGGGCTCGCGCGAGCGGGACCCCGGCCCGGCCCAACATCGAACAAGGTGTGAAATTTATGCAGCCGAATTAATATCACCCGCCGCCGCCGCCGCCGAGAGATGCTTTCATATTTTTTCCCGCGCGTTAGTTCCCATCCAGCTCAAAAGCTATGCATTCGACGCGGAACCCCCGAATTGATTACCCCGAGAGCCACCGTCCGCGGTGCCAGCTCGTACGTCACGCATTTCGCCGTAACCCGCACGGAGGAACGTAACTCCATTCCAAAGTTGCCAAATTGACTCTAACAATTCAATGTTTTACAAGAATGTATTTGCGCAATTTTTATCCAAAATTTTACCCTTTTCGGCTTGAGATCCGAGAAAAAATCAGTGAAATTTTCGGTTCAGAATGCCTAAGATTTTCCTGTTAAGATTGCAGATTACTCGGAAAAAGCTGGCAACATTAAAATAGAGTTACGTTCTACCGTGAGAGAGACGACGACATCACGGATTTCGCCGTAACCCGCACAAGGACGTAACTCTCTTCCAAGGTTGCCGAACTGACTCAAGCAATCAATGCATTTTAGAAAGTTACACCTACGCATTTTCATCAAAAATTGTCATGATTTTTGCATGAAATCTGGAGAAAAATCGGCGAAATTTCTAGTCATAATTTCCCAAAATTTTCCTGCTTATCGTGCAATTTACGAGAGGAAATTTGGGAACATTGAAATGGAGTTACGTTCCTCCGTGAGGAAAACGACGATTCGTGCTAAAAATAACGATATAAACTCATCCTCCGGCCAAAGTATTGAGAGCGCCATGCGATGTTTAAAAATTTCCGCCGCCATCGTTATTAGTTTACAGAGAAATTGTTCATCAAAGCTGTCCGAAAATGTCCCTGCATTTTCTTTGTGCTGCCAATAAAATTCACTGAAATTTTCGAACAGATCGCAACGTCATTTAGACATGCGTCCTAAGACCGATAAGTACACATGCTTAACAGGGCTCACTTCATAATGCACATAGTTCCGTTTGTCAGAAATACGTCCATATCATGAAAGTCCCCAAAAAATACCCACTCCACTAAGAGGAGCCGAATCCGTGGACTCGCCCGGTAAGAAAATGTACCTCTCCCTCAAAAATAGTAGTTTAAAGCCACACCTCAATCGTTGCGGCTTCCCGGCTGTAGATATGACAAAACGGGCAACATTTTTGCCCAAAGCGCCGTAAACTGGTGAATTTCAAGAGGAAATGACTTACTATGGTAAAATACCAATTTTTAGACTTGCGCCTTTTAGGGTTCTTCAGAGACCTCTGAATATGTTTTTAAATTTCTTTTTCGAAATAATTATTGGTTTGGTTACATAGAAGCATATATTTTGAGCGAACAGCATATTAACTTTTATCAACTTCCAAAAATAGGAGACACCCTAGTGGTGCGGTCAGCGTTGAACACATATTGGCGCCTACAAGACTGTAGGAATACTTCATGCATTGTTTGGTGCGGTCAGCGTGGAACGCATATCGGCGCCTTCAAGACTGCATGGATACTTCACGCATTGCGCTAAACACAGTGCGTTGCGGTTTGCTTGAACCGCATAATAGCGCCTACAAGACTGCAGGAATACTTCACGTATAGCGCGTAAAGTTCGGCGTGCCCTTCATTAATCGTTGGTCTTTCATAACTCCATCATGTCAAACGTACCACCGGCAGGGTTCACAATAAAAATCGACTATTTTACACCACGAGCCTAAAACCCTGGGATCGAAGAATCGAGGAGATTGTGTACCCTTGAATGGTCTACAGGGTTCCAGGTCAGTAGGTCTACAACATTAATGTCTACTGCCAAAATGTCTACTTTTTTTAGTCTACAACAAAAAGTCTACCCATAAAATATCTACGTTTAAAATGTCTACCCTTATGTGTGGCTGCCTTAAGGTGATTCGATGGACGCCATATTTTGTGTCAGAACGGCATGCGATATATCGCATCAATTGGTTCCATATTTTCAGCTACTCGTCATTTTTCCCCTATTTTGAGATCGCAATTTTGTTGTCAGGAGTCTAAAGCACTCACTTACCAATTTTAACAAAGAAATTCAACGTAATAAAGGCGTGGTTTTTTCAGAGAGAAAATATCGCATTCGAGTGCAGTTTCGATATCAGTATCGAATGCGATGTTTTCTCTCTGAAAAAACCACGCCTTTATTACGTTGAAATTTTTTGTTTAAATTGGTAAGTGAGTGCTTTAAACTCCTGACAACAGAAGTGCGATCTCAAAATAGGAGAAAAATGACGAGTAGCTGAAAATATGGAACCAATTGATGCGATATATCGCATGCCGTTCTGACACAAAATATGGCGTCCATCGAATCACCTTAAAAATGTTTACTTAAATAAAAATCCACGCAAGAGAATTGTCCATCGGGCAATGTACGCAACGATTGTGAAAAATATATATGCGATGTGACAAAGTTTCCTTTCTGCCTCGTCTCCTTATATATGATGCGGAAATTTTGTTGCAATGGATACTTAGAACCTCTCTCATCTGTTCAGTTTTTCCATGAGCAAATCAAAATTTATTTTCATGCAAAGGTTAGGCATTCAAGAATGACAATGACCAAGATGTTTTTTGGTTAAAATAATTTAAGTTTTCAATATTGATGATGGTGTATTTTTTCTCGTATTCTGCATGTTTTCTAAAATTCTCGTTCGCTCTATTCCTGTGAAATAATTCATTACAAAATTCCTGTAATATTTTCCGGCGTATAATGACGTACGTAGTACCCTCAAACAAAAAAAAATTCATTTTAATCCACAACGATTTTGACTACCATGAACGGAGGCGCAGTAAGAACGGGCAGAGAATTTACTGGAGATGTTCCATGAGGGATACGTGTAACGCGACGTGCGTCACGAGCTCTAATCTTAATGAAGAAATCATGGTGTTCAAAGTTGGCACCCACACACACTATGGCAGACACGCTAAGATAGGGGTAAGAAGGGTCATGCAGAGTATTCGAAGAAGAGCGGGTGAAAATCCGAATCAACCACCCAACAGCATAATACAGGAAGAAATCGCGGGAGTTCAAGATGAAGAAGTGTTCTTGGGGTTGCCGGACCGCCAGGCTCTACTCCGGAGCGTAAATCGTCAGCAAAATGTTGAGCGTCCTGCTTTCCCTACGTCATTGGCGGAGGCAGAAATCCTTGACCCACACGACAGAACCTAAACCAACCAAGAATTTCTCCGCTTCGACTCGGGTTTGCACGACCCAAATCGGATTTTGATTTTCGCGATTAGCTTAGAGATTTAAGCTTAGAAATTTTGTTTGTGGACATTTCTGTAATGGACTAAAAAAAGTAGACATTTTGGCAGTAGACATACTGCTTGTAGACCTACTGACTGGAAACCGTCTACAGAAACTGAAAATCAAGTTTTTCGATGCCGGAGTGTCGTGGAGGCCCTGGACAATCCCCCCCCCCCCCCCCACCCGCCAACCTTACGTTTGAAGTGTTTGGATTCGCATATGTGTTTACGTTACAAACTAGTTTCTTTCCATTTTTGCAGCGTCGAGGGTTTGAGTAATACGGTCCGATTCGGCATCTCGCGGTGGCCGAGGAGGGAGCGGAGAAGGAGCGACACCGCCTTTCGCTCCGCTCGGACAGTATTAACTATTAACCCCGAAGTTGAGTGTAATTATGAACAGACAGCCAAAACTGTGGAGCGAGTCGGAACTGGCAACTGCAACTTGGCCGCTCGCCAAGGCTAACAATACGCGAGGCGATGTTTAGTGGCACTCATTACAAGAATCCTCGTCACCGATCTTACATCAAAACTTCTTTTCCTCCCTCTAATTAGTTTACCACGCTCTGAATCCCGGATTTTCCCGATCGGGAGAGTTCCTTCGTCCCACCCGAGTTGCCGACTTTATCTGCTTTCGTAGACATTTCAGCTAAGGAAAGTGAAAATAAATTCTTAATTTTCCCTCGAGAGATATTTTGCCTTTAATCGAGGGAACTTTCCGATACACTTAGTTGAATCTTCAAAGAGTGACGATGAAAGATGGCAAGGGGAAATAAGAAGGTACGCAGTTTTTGCTATTTCAAGAAATTCTGTTTGAGGTTTCGGAAGTATATAGATCCTAAAGGCGGAAAGAAAGTTTAAGTTCAAGTTAACGGAGTCTAAAGTCTGAAGTCTGTGTGTTAACGTTTGAATGGAGTTACGCTTCTTCGTCTGGGAAACGATGGATTATCGTGATGGACCACTAGCCAAGGTACGAATGTAAGGATTCTGATACACGTTTCTTAACCAAAATTTCACGTAGAACACGATTCTTGCATTGAAAATTACCGAAATCATTTCCTATCTGAGATATTAACGTTTTTATTTTACGTTACGGGATATTTGAATTGCCCGCCCGATCACACGAAACTCAATACTCTGCGTGAGTTCAATCGCGTACTACAACGGTTTCAGCAAGCTTCTCAATCCAGCACTGTTCATTTCCCACCCTGTGTTGTTCAAACTATAAACAACTTGCTACAGCTGAGCCAAAGCGTCAAAATTGAGGTTGCCAGATTTTTATATCGCATAGTGTCATGGTAATTTTTAGCGTGGGATTTGACTCACGTAGACCATTGAGTTTTCTTGAGTTTCAACTTCGTACCATGTCTAGTGGTCCATTGTCTGATTGAAACAGGCTGGCCGGTCTGAGAAATCCATGAAATTCAGAAAAGTAAGTGGACTTGACGGTCAGGAATCCAGAAATACCTTCAAACGTCAAGATAGTCAAACAGTACTACAAAGAAGGCAGAAAAAACTTGCGGAAGTGATAAATCGTTATATGTCGCTTTACGCGTAAGAAGCCGTTAATAAAACACATAACGCCAAATTTCGGGATTTTTGATCCCTTACTCCCCTCTCTCCCCTCTCTCCCTCTTTTGATCCCTTGCAACGCTCTCCTTGATCACTGGTGATGTAATTGAAATTGAGAGGTTTGGAGGACAAGGTACATTTGTGCAGTTTTTGAAGAAAAATGATTTATCAATGATTTCAAGTTGGATTGGTGGGTGTCGCAGAACGCGATGCTAGTTCGTCCTGTACTCGCAATATTTTTCGAAGGCGTTTAGTTCCGTTTGACAGAACGCGCTGTCCGGGATTCTAAAATCCTCAGAAGGAAATCAATTTCGCGCGCTTACTTCAGTTTAAGAGGAGTACGTCCATTTTGCGGTAAGGAACCACTATATTCCTGGCTCGTTTTAGAAACAACACATGTGCCATTGATTTCCCGAAGCAGAAAGGTGCTTTTACGGAAGAACCAGAGATAGTGGTTCCTCATTGGAAAATGTAATACATTTCTGGTGAGAATCGGCAAGCGCGGGACGGCATTTCTCGGCGGGAACGGTGCTGAGCGTGTTTTATTGGAAAACCACACTGTTTTTCCAGTCAGCTACGACTTGACCGCACATAACTCAGCTATCGCACTTTCCGCCCCGACCTCCCTCGCCCTCCTTAAATGAAACGAAATTCCGTTTCATTTCGCCCGGCGAGTGCCTGTTTACGAGAGGTTCTTTCCAACTGGTGTTACTTCTCCTGACCTGGATTCTCGCGCCTTACGTAAAGCTTCGGCGAATTCCTGCGGATCGAGCGGCAACTCCGAAGTTCCTCCGAGAGACTGACGTAAAAGCTGCGACGTGCCTTAACAGCCGTCCCCTTGGTGTTTTACTCTTTCAGATGTGACAAAACTATAGGGTAATTATTTCAAGTTTGTTCTGTGACCAGAGTTGTCGCAAAATTTAGAGAAAGAAATTCCCTGACACTTCTCTGATTTACCCGACACATTTTAATAAAATTCCCTGACATTTGAAGGTATGCCTTATGGCCAAAAATACATAATTTAAACTAGTTTTCAGACAAAGTTGTTCTAAACGTCGAATCCATTCGAGGAAGCTAATAAAGGCGAATAAAAATTTTCCCCGGACACTTTCGTCATTTTCCCGGTTTTCTTTGACCGTGGCAACCCTGCAAAATTCAATAAAATTTACATGTGGCTGAAAGCATGGAACTACTTGATGCTATACAAGGCATGTCGTTCTATCTCAAAATAAGGTGGCCATCGAATCACCTATACCGACAATCCTACTTGCGTGAACTTGAACGGAAGGGCAAAATTAGCAGTAAGTAAATAGGTTGCAGATTTTCCCTCACTTTTCGTAAAAAAATACGTCGGGCTTCTACTTTAAACCAAAAAGGAGGACAGTAACCCGTGCGATCGTCGTCCCACAAGAACTTCAACGCGTAAAGTCGAAATTCTTAAACCATCGGTGACATGCAACTGTGTTCCGTTGACCGTTCTATGAATCTTATTACACCACAGAAGTAAAAGGGATTGGATATTACCGTGAAGTTGGGTTCCGCGATACGGCGCTGCGATACAAATATTTCAACTCTTGCGTGTTGCACAGTATCAAGCGCAATTGAAGGCGTTGATTGTGCGCTTGATGGACACTGCAACGCGATGTCTGGAGGATATTCGCGGAATCGGTTGAATCCCTTTGGAGACTTCCCAGCAATGGTGCGAACACTCAAGGCACAAAATATTGCCATCATCTTTAGGAAAACCCATTTTATAATACGAAGGAATTTTTAAAGTAAGATCTTGAGGAAAATCATTTCATTGTATGTAAAATTTCTAACTAACAACTCTGAGTGGAGAACATTGATAGGTTCACAAATTCTGTTCAAATTTTTAGTTAGTTAGTTAGTATATTTTAGGACATTCAGCGTCACAGGCTATTGACGTCTTTACAGATAATTTTGAAAATGAGAGTATATACGAAAATTTAGATTTTTAAATTAAGAGAGGTGAAGAGTTTCAGAATTTTGGTAGTAATATTGGGTTCATCGCATGTAAGTGGGTCACCTTCACATGAAAGACATTAATACCCTTGGATGCTTGATGTCTATGAATAAAATAACTGACTAACAAAGACGTTAATAGCCTGTGACGCTGAATGTCTTAAAATATATTAACTATAACTAACTAACTCTCCTGGTTCTTCTTGTCTACATACACGCTCCTCTGATCTAGCTAGTTTGTCGTTATTGTCATCCCTTTCCCCCCTTTTCCCTATAAAATGTATTCTGGATCAGTTGCGGCTCGATAAATTACATTTCAACATACAAATTATCTGCAGTATTACTTCGTTGGCGAAAAAATTATATTTTTGTGGGAATTTCTAATAATGAAAAAAACAGTCGCCCACCTGAATTATACGTATGCATTTGAAAAAGAACACGCGTGAAATTTTTCAATTATCATTAAATTAACCGATTAATTTCCAGCTCTTTAGAAAGAAATGACCAAAGCAGCACTTTTAATCCAAGATGAAGGCCGAAGCGATTGCCATATTAAGTATTTTCGTCACTATGGGGTATTTACGTTTTTTGTTTATTGTTTCTGTTTTATTGTTATATTTGTGTTTTTTTTACGTCGAGGTCAAATTGGGTCAAAATGTATATGCTATGTATCGAAATTTTTAGTACAAATGTTAAGATCTCATTCCGAGGGCTTGAGAGCGAGTTGGTGGCCTTATGAATATTGTCGTTCTCCCTTTTCTTTCCGGAGGGTCACTTAT